TCTGCAAAAAGGAAAAGGACAGTTATTAGAAAGGAAAAGGGGCACAGAAAGGAGGAATTTCTCGCACCTGAAAAGAGGCATTCACGAGAGATGAAAAGGGGCACTTATGAGAATGGAAAAAAGCTTATTCGGTTATAAAGGAAAAGGGGTACCTGTCATCTGTTTATAGTGGCAATTGTTGGGGGTGAAAAAGAGGCACTTATAAAAAGGAAAAGTTGCACTTATCAGAAAGAAAAGAGGCACGTGTCAAAATAAAAGGGTTGTTTATCAAAGGTGAACAGGGGCACTCATCAAAAAAGAAAAAAAAGTACTTATCAGAAGGAGAAGGCGGCAATTATTACAAAGGAAAAGGGGCATTTGTAAAGGTAAAACGTGTACCTGTTAGATTTGAATAGGGGAAATATCAGCGGTGAAGGGGCACTTATTAGAGGTGGTAAGGGGCACTTCTCGTACCTGAAAAGAGGTACGTACCGGAGATGAAACAGGTCACTTATGAGAATGGAAAGGGGACACGTATTGCAATGGAAAAGGGGCACTTGAGAGGAAATTATCAGAGGTGAAAAGGGACATTTGTGAGAAAGGGAAGGGGATCTTATGAACAGATGGTGGTGCACTTATCACAAGGAAAAGAAGCACTTATTATAAGGGGAAGGGGCGGTTCTTACAAGGGGCACTTGGCCTATACACGTAAAAGGGGGCACTTTGAGGCTACCTCAGAAACTGTGCTACCCCCCCCCCCCCTTTCCCAGGAACGCCGCCTCTGATGACATTAAAATGACTTGGTATAAAAGCGTTTCCGTGACTTGGTTTAATAAGACTGTTCCCTAGAAAATGTGCATGACGGTGACAAGACATGTTAAATATCGTCAAGTTGTGTGGTTTGATGAAAAATTATTGGGCCTCTTTGGTACATGACGGTCACTTGATGAAGAACCCCCTACTGAAAATGTAACATTATGTTGACTTGGCGAATATATCTTGTGACTTTATGACTTTAATGTCTACCGAAAATTATAATGGTGACTTAGTGACGTGTTTTCATGACTTCGTGAATAATTTACATACATGTTTATTCGACGGAAAATATATATGACGAGGACTTATTCTCGTTTTTTATTTTGTTCTTGTTTGTTGTAGTTGTTACTTGTTTAAAAAATTGCTACAATTCAAAAGATTTGCTGAGTAAGATTCTTTGTTAGTAGGTCATATAAAAGGCTTGCAGAATTACAAACATTTGTATTACCCTTTCTGTGTTCTGTGTTAACACCCCTCCCACACCACACACACCTTGTAGGTAGCGATGGCTGAGCTGATGCTAGTCCATGTGTGTGCGCGCTCGCACGTGCGTGTCTGCGTGTGTTTTTCAGTTTGTGTTTCTCTTTATATTATTATATTATATTATATTATATTATATTATATTAATAATATATATAATATTCATGATTCTGTGCAAAACATATCATATTTTTTATAAATGAGTAATAATTTACAACTGTATATAATTCTGTTATGTTGATGTGATAATTAGTAAATACACTGTATACGTACAATGCTTATAATGCTGTTATGCATTTGTAAAAGTTTGAGATGTAAAAATGGAAAGTTGAGATTTGTTATTATATATTTAATTTATGTTAAAGTAATGTAACTCCAATATCTTGTAATATTACGATAAACTAAGTATATATTATCATTCTGTTATTTCTATGTGTGCATTGGATGAACAATAAAATAACTTTTAAACTAAAATGTCCAGAATCTGGCCGGTTCCTTATATTCATATTCCCTACAATTGATTCAAGCCGACGAAGATGGCGCTATCAACGAACTCATTACGCTCACCGGCCTTCGCCGGGCGTCTTAGTTTCAGGATCATAGTCCTGTAGAAGTTTTTCAGACCCGGAAAAGTACAATTAAGTTTTTTTTGATGATTCGTGTTCTAGATGGGTTAGTGACGAGTCGGCAACCTTGGGCATTACTTAAAAATAAGAACCGGTGTCATAAATGAATTCCTCGTCATAAAAAACCCTTGATAAGTAATATTATCCATGTTTGTAAGCTTCCCAGATTAAGATAAGCAACATATTACATATTGCACATATCCTAATTTGATTATTATGCTATAAATTAGGCTTATACAACAAGTTGCCTAAGTATGGAAAACTAGAACTTCTTGGCAAATTGTATTAACCGCTAGTACTACAGGGGTGCTCTATGCACGTGTTGTTGCTGTTGTTACTGTCCATAAGGACCAAAGCATTTCAAAAAAACAAATCGCATGTTCTTTATACACAACACGATTTAACAAGAAATATATACATTTATAAAAACCGAAAAGTTTACCAAGAAATATTGCAACAAAGATACCGTATTCGGGAAGCTTGTCTAAAAGCGATACATTTATAAAACAGCCATTTTGAGTTTTGACATCACAATATATGCTGCCAATGAAAGGTATAGCCAGTCGCTAATATAAGAAGTGTACCTAATATTATGTTGGGTTTTCTGAAAAACTGAGGGACATGCATGTCTTTTGGGTGAAATGAAAAACATTAATAACCTTTACCCCAACTCTATTTGAAAGGTATATATTGTAATATATATTTTGTTTTAAATATAAATAAATTTGATTCAATTCCTCAATTTGGCAAGCAAAATATAATCTCAGGTATAGAGACCAAACCGTACATAATATTAATAATAATACTATTTAATTTGTATATAGCGCTTAATACATAATACATAAGACACCATACAGTAATTTATGAAACATCATAGTTCCCTTTCATCGATGTTGATGGTTAATTTGGTCGACTATGATGCATAAGAATGATTGAAACCTCAAGAATAGCCATATCTATATCATAGGGTTTAATATGATGATGGTAGGCTCAAACATTGTAATGATGGATAGAAACTAGCGTGGAATATTGTGCTTCCACCATTAACATGGAGAGAACTATTGTAACATGTGCGCGTGGGCATGAAGGCAGGGGGCAGATTATAGTCCAGTAGACGGTACCATATACCATTTACATGACCTGGGAAAGTTGATAAATACAAGTTTTTTGTTGACTTGTGTTCTAGATGGGTTTTGAAGTAAATTCAGCTCGGTTGCCAGCTTGGCAACCTTGGGCAACTTTGGGCAACTAGCCATATCAGCCATTTAATTAGCATATGTGCAATATGTAATAATGTTGCTACTCTCAATCCAGGGAGCCTGAAAACATGGATAATACGACTTTTCAAGGGGTTTTCTCAATTATCAATTATTTGGGACTCTTTTTAGCTTCACAAATTGTATGTCCAATGTGGTGGTTATCTTGGTTGCAAGGCAATGTTGTCGAACCTCATGAAATGTCTAGGAAATGAGGTTGATGGTTGGGCTTTAGTCATTGGATTTAGAGAGACTGTCGGAAACACACTAAAGATGGTTAAAGCAGATGATAATGATGGAATTGATGGTGTGGTGAGACAGGTACGTAAGTAGGCCAGGGATGTTGAATACAACAGTGCGAACTATGATCTGTCTATGTTTACCAAAGCCAGAACCATTGAGAGCACAAGCCCGACGTTGCTCAAGCTTGTGGCAGAATTCCTGGAAAAGTCATATTATCCATGTTTTCAGTCTTCTTGGATTAAGATTAGCAACATTATTACATATGGCCCATACAGTGTATATGCTAATTAGGCTAATTTTACGACATCTACATGAAATATCTTCTAATGAATGAATGATTAGTCTTTCAAAAGTGATTTACAGTGTTGCATTGCACCATTTTTTAGGCTTTATAGATAAACAATGACAATGAAATCCATATATTGTACACATGCTTAATATTAGCTTATTGTGCTCATTGTGCTATTTAAGACAATTGCATTACTTGGAATAAAAAACTAGTGTCCTAAATGAATTCCTCGTCATAGAAAACCCTTGAAAAGTCATATTATCCATGTTTTCAGGCTTCCTGGATTGAGATTAGCAATATTATTACATGTTGCACATATATTCTAATTATATTATGATGCTAATACACCTGTTTACGGTTAGGGGCGCCATTTTAATTGGCGAGTAAACAAAGCCAATGACCTAGAGGTCATGTATTTATGCGAAAATTAAGATTGCGCCCATGCAAATTATGATGATATCACTGCCCACGCGCTGCGTTGTGCGCGCACATCATCATTTGCATGGGCGCAATCTTAATTTACGCATAAATACCACTGACCTCAGGTCATTGGCTTTGTTTCAAAGCCAATTACATGTATGCGCATGCACACTGATGTAACCGTAAACTGGTGTATTAGGCTAATTATACTACACACCGGTATACATGGAATATATTCTCATGAATTAATAATTAATCTTTCAAAAGTGATTTACAATGTTGCATTGCACACAATTTTAGGCTTTATAGATAAACAATGACAATGAATTCCATATATCGTACATATTATGCTAATTATGCTATTTAAAACAATTGTATTGTTTAAAAATAAAAATTGGTGTCCTAAATGAATGCCTCGTCATAGAAAAATCTTGAAAAGTCGTATTAGTCATGTTAAGAGGCTTCTTGGATTGAGATTAGCAACATTATTACATATTGCACATATGCTAATCAGATAAGTATGCTTATATGGCTATTAAAAAAAGTTGCCCAAGGTTGCCAAGCTGGCAACCAGGCTAAATTTACTTCAATACCGATCTAGAACACAAATCAACAAAAAAAAACTAGTACTTAACAACTTTTCCAGGTCTGAAAAACGTCTACAGGACTATTACTGTATGTGATTCAAATAATAATTGTTATGTTTCATACCACAAGTCGAAGGTCGGTTGATCATTCATTAAAATCCCTCATCCGTTTGTACATCCGTTTGTACATCCTGTTATACATGATACGTACCTTATAAAGAACTTCCTACACCAAGTACATATATGTATGGTATTGAGCGTGTAATGGGTTTGTTCGCGTATTCAGGGCGAAATCTGTACACAGATGGCTACTTCCAGCTCGGTGATTAAGAAAGGGAAGCTAGATGAATTACGACATGAAATCTTGTCGTACAAACCAGGCAAGGCTGTACCTTGTGATGATGAACGAGTGGTGTTTCCTGATACGCTTGTTATTGGTACGATAATTCTACCCGGGTATGTGTACAGAATAGCCTCTGCCCTGAGAAGCGCTCTTTATGGAGACGTAGAGCCACGCAAGCTTGCTGATGAACGTCAAACATCTACTGAGGATCAGGAGGAACATCTCACCGATTCTATATACATCATCACAAGAAAAGTTCTCTTTGGTTTGTCTATTGAAAATAAGGCCATGTTGTTTTGTTTGTGTTTGTTGTAATTCAAATGAAACTAAACGCCTCTACTATGGAATGAAAGCTATTTCCTTAAATCCTAAGGTATGATTTTGGTAAAATAAAAAATTGTATGAGAAAGTTATGTTTTGAATATTACTAAACTAACGGAATGCCCTTTTGTGCTAGATAAACAAGCATTGTGAATAATGTCTAAACACTCTAAAAATGTCGGATTAAAAAAAAGAAGAAGAAGAAAATGTTACTTAATTGTTTTCCTTATTGTCTCTAGAAAACGTGCCTGAAATGAGAAAATGTATACCCAACTGCGTGTTTGTAAATTTGTAGTAAACAATTGATTGATTTGTTTGTTTTGTAGAAGAAATAAATTCAAGTTAATTCAATTATGGAGGTTTGACAAAACCGCGCGATGATCCTATTTGAGCGTGAAATTAACTTCATATTGGTTAGATACTACACTACATCGCAATCAATATTCGAAAATGTCATAGCTATAGTCAGTCGCTTGAATTGTATAATTATATTTGCTAAATTTCAGTCGTCTGTAACATTTTAATTTTTTTGCAAATTGAGGGTATGAACCCTGACAAACGCCTGAGTAACCCATTGCCTATTGATAAAGAGACAGATATCATTTCACGTTTATCGTCTGAAAGAGAGAAATATGTGAAAACTTGCGTGATCTTAAAAAGTCATTGTTTTAACAGTAAAACGTAACTCTTAGAATTCATATTACATGGCACAAATCAAATAAATAGAGCGCAATATATCACATTTCTTTGAAAAAAGAATCGAATAAAAACAAACGATTATGTGTAAGCCATTGATTAATTTAACATGTCAACTATCTGAAACAGTTCTTGGTTAGATGATGTGTATGTACTCACCTGACCTGCCGGATGTAATTAGTTTGGAGACTCCCTAGCAAGGTGCATGAGCATACAAGTGTGTATGTTACTTGCAGAAACATCTCTTTGGACATGGTCAATCTTCAACTACGACATTAAGATTATCAAAAGGAACTGCGAATAATTACATCATTTGTTTTCTCCCTCAAAAGCACATAGGGATTAAAGGCGCCATATAACAACCTTTTCTCAAATACAATTTCAATATCATGAAGCTCAACAAGTGATAATATATAGATGCATCAATTCATTGAAGAGAGTGATGTCTTGGGCTTTTCAAACATGTTAATTTTGTTGATGATATTATGGGTGTTTTATTCAGGGTTTTGGAATTGTACAATAATTGCCCGCACTGCAATTCTTACAAAAATTCCCACATGAAATTATACTTATATAGGACAACATAGATTCATGGATTCATCATTATTTTGGCAACCCCTTTTTAGTATGAGTCTACGACTTTCAAACTCATGTAATATTCTCTTTATGAAAGGCATTTAGTTCACTGTTTATATTTTCACAAAATATTATTTTGTGTGGTTTCATTGATGTTATTGCACAAACAACTCATTCATTTGTGTTATGCTGGCATAATGCATGCAATTTATAGAACTACACAAGCTTGTCTATTTTGTTATTTGTCTACTTCTGCATGTAGGCTAAATATCATGTTCATAGTATCCAAAAGGTTCATCATGCACAATGTATCAAATACGTTCTCTTTTACCATCTTACCAGTTTCATACGAAGAACATGTACGACACCTTGCTGGGAAGGTCGGATGTATAGTGCTGTTTCTAAAGTGAGTATTAATCTTCTCGCTCTCCATATTCACATGGGCTATACATATTTGAATGAAATCGACTACCATTTTTGTAATCACATGGTAATACCACGTTTAATACCAAATGTGTCCACAAAAGGGTAAAAAATGAAATTATATTTATTTACTTTAAACGTGTATTTTTAGGATCAGGACTATTTATATTTTTGAGAAATGCACATTTCGGAGCTTAATCTATCTCCCTATTTATTCACCAGATATGAGTACTTTGAGTTCTTACATTTTTATTGTGAACTATAGCATATCTAATAACTGGGATATATAAATAATTTGCTATTAACTACACCAAAAAAAGGTGTTGGTCTTTAAGAATATGTTTCAGAGATTATTCATGCAAATTTTTGAGTTTCTATCTTGAAAAATACAGATTTTGTATCCCTTGAAAGTGAAAAATAGCTATAAATTAGGGTTTTGACAATAACAAGTTTTTTTTTTTCAATAGGTAAAGTGCTTTTTTTCTGCGGTCAAACTTATTTTTTTATAAGAAATGATGATATTAGATAAATACATACAAAAAAAAATGGGAAATAGTGCATTGCCTTATAACTTTCACACGTCACACCACTGGTGTTTTAGACGGTACACACTGTTAATATCATAACTTTATTCAAGTTAGTTGCTTTCTTTATGTTTTATTGACCTAAGTTATATTAATTGTTTGCAGAAAAATTCTTCTTTAATATGTATGGAAACAATTGTGCAGTTTTAATTAGTCTAGCACATATACCTAGTTTGTCTTCATCGACTACCCAATTTATACAAGGTATACTGTTCATTTCAAGAACGTGTAGTTATAAATGCTTATGTGATCTAACACAGCAAAATATGAAGCTAATAGCAATTGTAGTCATCAAAACTCCTTAAAAAAATTCACTTACGAACATACTCTCTTTTGCATGTTATGAACAACAGTGTACAATGTATGCTATAGTTTGTTTCGGATCTTACACGATGTTACACTTTGCCTTAAACTATAAAGTGTGTCATTCAATAATATCACTAACACATACATGTATGTAAGCAAAACATTGAAAAATCTTTTTTCTTAAATAAAACTATAAAGAGGTATCCCCAACCATTAAAGTAATAATAAATAAGGAAATTCTTTTAAAATTGTGTATGTTTTAGATGGTAATACTAGTAACAATCATCCTTTACCACTATGTATTTGGAGGCTGTTTCAAAAGACAACACTTAAAATGCTCTTAAATACGTATCTATTTATTACTTAATGACCAATTGATGGATGGATGGATGGATGGATTGGTTGGTTGATTGATCTTAACTCTTGCTGTGCCGATATCACAGGTGACAAACAGTATAAGTTAAACATGTATCTTGGATTGCATATTGCTCCAACAGGTATGTGGATACCAATTACATGTTCGGAGCGTAAATCAAGTATTCTAGTTATCTGTGAAACATTATAGATTCATAGAATTATTTTTTTTACAGGATCCTTCAAATTTCTCTGTTTAACGATAAACGATGGTTAATGAATAGGCAAGAGAAAAGGGACAATCAGTATTAAAGCCCATTTATATTTCACACTAGCTTAATATGTAGACATACATTTGAGGAAGATACTGTATGTTTAGGATCATTATATAAGGTATTAATGCTCTTTTCAGTATTGGATAATGGCAGTAGTAATCCTTTGTACACAGATTAGCTATGTGTACTGAGTGCCCTTTTTAAAATGTATTTTCCTTATGAAAATCCCTATTTCCCGTAATTTTTTAGAAAATCATTTTAATTTGCTTCATTTTATCAACTTTATATTCCTGTATCATACCCATGTCATGTACATGTACACTGGGTATTGCTCAAGTGTGTGATTTTGAGCTTTTGTAACCTACCAAATAGTTTAAATTGACCATAACATCTTTGTTTATATGACATCATTTGGAACAACCTCTATAAAAATGAAAACCTGATGATTTGCAAAACACACAGCAATGTAAATAGCAAGAGGAGAGGTAGACAACAATTTGCTATTCTCACATCTATCTTTGCCCCTCATCTGAAAAAGTTAAAGTATGAAAATGTCTGTTAACAGTTTAATGTAACGTCCGAAACATGCTAACAGCATACCAGAAAGTGCTGTTAAAATGGTTGAATATTTTTTATGAGTCACTTTCATTGACATTTTTTCAGATAAATTACAATTAAGGATATACTAAAGCAGCCAGCCATGCCTTGCATCAAAAAGTGTGGCTCCCATATTTTATGTTTTATAAGTCAATTTTGCAGACAATTTAGCTATTTTGTAGAAAATTTGATTCTTTGCATCATATTTCTTCATATTTTTATATTTAAATCTAAATAAATTTATCAAAATAGTGTTTTTAACAGGAGTGTGCATTGTGAAATCATAACTTGCACATATGATCGAAAATTAGTTGAAATTTGCAAACTAAGTGTTAACAACGAAATCATGTAACGTCCGAAACACCCTTCTTGTGTTTACAAAAAAATTATTGGATTTGAAAGACCTGATTTGTGTTTTGACTTGTGTTAAGACTTATAATAACTTATTTCATAATGATTTATTCACTCCAGATACCCTAAAATATGGATTATCATCATTTAATTGGTATTTTTGGTTTCGGACGTTACATTTGTTTTGGACGTTACAACTGTTAACGGAAAATTGGTTTTAACTATAAAATAGTATTGTAGTAATGTATAGCGAATTTCTTTTGTTTGGTGGGTAGCCGACATGAAATGTTTTTAAAATGTTACGATAGATAGGTCCTGCAGTTCATATATTTTCTACTACTTCAAATTGGCAGTTGTGTCGGACGTTACAAAATTGTTTACGGAAAATGAGACAACTTTTTCAAATTTTGAGTATATTTCTAATATAAGCGCTACTATAATTAAATTATATTTTCTTTTAATTTAATGACTTGGAGTAACTAACTCTTATCATGCCACAGGACTAATCTCCATTGTGCCAAACCCCAAATCCCCTGTGCCAGGTCGTTTTGGAGATAATCTGATTAACGCGATGGTTCTATGAATAGCGAGTGCAAAATACACAGGACAGTCCAATGAGCATGAACAATAACTGCTATTACGAATGCTGCAGCGGTAGCTCACTCGCATGGACAAAGCAGCACAACGATAGCGTGCATGCAGCCTTATGGCAGGCTATGAGCTAATAAGCTTATTCAAACCATATATAATCTCATTAATTTATTGTTCTAGTGGGTTAAATGAGGGTCTACATTGTTTACGGAAAATGTAACGTCCGAAACACCATTTTCAATTGCACTGTTCCATCAAAATACACGAGTTAATTCAGATTACTGTTAACTTTCTTTAAGATCCACCCATGCTCATCAATCATCAATAACAAACAATTATTGTTTGTGACTTTATATTTTTGTCGGCTCCAACCAAAAAGGGATGTCAATTTTAATACGATATTCCGTAAACAATCTGCTGTTCAGGGATACCTCATGCACATAAAGCAACATTGAACTTTTTTTATTAAGCTATAGGAGGTCAATCTAGGTCCATGCTACAAGAAAAAGTTGTAATTGATTTCTAATTCTTTATCTTTGTAAAGTTTCAGACTCTCAAAGGGCCATTTAGCTATTTGTTCATAGTTAAACAAAACCAGTGCCTTATATACATGTTTACTGCCCATTTGCTTGTACAGTAATGCGGATACGTTTGGGCAGGGGGGGGGGGGAGCAATGTCATGGTTTGCCCCTAGCGGCATAATACTTAGATACGCCAATTTTTTATCACTTTCGTCCGTTCAAACATGATTTGATAATGTTTCTCCTTACTTCTGTTACCCGAATTTGACAGCAAGGTGTCCGAATATGTTTGATATCTTTCCATCTTTAATATCGAAAGGATTCATGGTCATAAGTTACGGCGCTTGTGGGCAGGTGACATCGTTCTGACACCGCGGACCGAAATAAACACATTTTCGGGGCAATGTGGCAAGGAAAATCGGCAACAATTTCTTCTTCGGTAGGAGCGGGTTGAGAATCAAATTGTGTGCATTTAATTATCATTACCTCTTTAATTATCACCACGTGATACTGACGAGTTTGAATTTGTGCATTTTCTCATTTTTATTAGTCCGTCTTTTTCCGACTACTTCCAACAATGGATCAAGACAATAAAGAGCATTACAGGTGAGTTTGCCCATAATTCGTTATGCTATAGGAAGAACGAGTATCTTTAAACAATTGTGAATTAACAAATAATTGCACTGTTGATACACACAATGCAGTGAAATAAACCACCGTATTGATTACAAGAATAGACGAATGAAGATATGAATAAGTGAATAAAATTACGAGCCATATTATTTTCACATATGAAACTTTTTAATATAAAGGTTGGTAATTTTTATTTACATAAAAAAATTATACAGATTCACGTTATTTGCCATGCTATTAAATGGGTAGGTACGTGTATCTAGCGATAATGACACCTGCTATAGAATGTTTTTTCAACAGTTATGACTAGGACATAAAACAATCGAGGAAACAACCATAATTCATGCAATATGACTCTAAAATCAAGTACTTATCTTAGTTTTCTATATTATCCATTATGCATTCAAGCCCTTAATTGCACCTCATCAATTTCGATGATGATGATATCGTGAACTCTAACACTCCCTTCGTCAGTTCAATTTGTAAAATTAAATACCTTTTCTTTCCTTGTGTATGCATGCTGATACTTTCCTCTTTTTGTGTAGGCCTGTATTATTATATAATAGGTCCATATGATTACAAATTTATATATAGTTGTAAATGTATAATTATCTCCTGATTACGGCTATGTCTACTCTCTTTTCCGGTTCTTTTGCAGTCTATCACTTTTCTCTTTTCCCCCTCTCTCTCCATCGATCTTTCTCTCACTCGCCAGTTATATTTACAAGCCTAGAAAATGATGGTATACTCTATGCACATACATCACGTTTAGTGGCAATATTTGAAAGCACAGATGTGAATGAAAAAATAAACAGATTCGATCCTTACTCTGGTTAAAAAATATAATCCCCCCCCCCCTCTAAAAAAAGGGGATTATGTGACAAATGTGTGGTACACAGAGGTCTGGACGATTAAACGACTTCTTCGATTGAACTTATTTCTTTTGGATAGGTCACGTCCCTGTATGTGCCATGACAACTACCAGGGAAAGTAAAGTCCTCGAGAAGGCAAAAAATAAACTAAAAAAACTCGGAGTCACTGACATCTATGACATACCTTCAACTGATGGAGATCGCTTAGATGAGAAACGGTTGCAGTGGCTTCACCTCCTCCGTAGATGCTTGAAGAAGGGTGACGAAGGGATATCTGCTGGCATAATACAGCTTTATTCTTTACCCAGCTTTGAGCGGTTTTGGAACCAAGGGAGAAAGGATGGCACAGAAGCACAGAAGAGGCACGGAGAAGAAATTAGAGAAGGAGAAGAAGCAAAGAAGTTACTCCGAGGTAGAATTACAGACTTAGAGCAGGAACTCATCGAGTCACGTGCAAGTCGCGCAAGCATAGTCAGTGAAAATGGAAGACTACAAGATACCATGAAGGTTGAACAAGAAAGGCATGAACATAGTGAAAGGACAATGATGGAAAACGAGAAAAAAGCAAAACAGATAATGGAGACGTACAAGCAGAGGGAGATGGAATTTGAAAAGAAACTACAATCAAACGATCTGCGTATAGAAACAATGGCTGAAAATTTACATGGGACAGAAGAGAAGGCAAGACGTAAGGTTGAGCGACTAGAGACAGACAACGAAGAAATGATGACGAAATTAGTGTCTAAGCTACTACGGGAAGACACTTTGACAAAAATGCTGGAGGAGAAAGAGCGAAACGAGACGACTCTAAGACAGCAAGTTGAAGAATTAACGAAAGGAAGAGAGGGAGACAGAGCAAGAGCTGAGAAAGAGAAAAGCTCACTGGCAGCAGAAATGACGAACATTGTACAGGAGAAAGAGCGGAACGAGATGACTCTGAGACAGCAAGTTGAAGAAAGGAAGAGAGGGAGACAGAGCGCGATTTGAAAAAGAAAAACGGTCACTAGAATTAAGCTTGAAGAAGGAACATGAATATAATGAAGGGCTTTTGGAGCAACTTAAGCGTGAGACCTGGAAGCTGAGAACCAAAATTCAACTAGAAAGTGAGAAACGATCAGCAGAGCAGAAGAAGAAAGCAAAGACACATCAATGGAGTTTTATTCGCTGGGTGGCTTCTGGAAAACAAGCTCAGAGTGGTAAGACTGTATTTTCCAATCTCAATTTCTTTTAAAAGTAAAAAAACAAAATAACATTATACTATATTAGTCCAATCCAATTTTTGCTACTTTTTGAAATATGTATAATGTGAAGCTTATCAAATCTAATATGGTCTTTATAGCTCCCTATCCCATTTTTGCTATACTTTGAAATTACTTAGAATACCGATACGGTGAATGATAGAGAACATTCCAAATTTGTATCTTAAATCCTTTTTTTTTCCTTCTCATTCAAACTGACTTCATTACTTCATGACAGGCACATCACCATTTGAGGATAATTCAACCGGAGGACTGGGGAGTGATACAGTACAAGCAGGGTGAGATGAAATATCTTTACTCTTTACATGGCAAATTGACAATCAACGTATTATTTATCTTATAGTGACAACACTGCTACGGAATGTACTTTAGTGTGTAAAATAAGTGGTGCTAGGCGGTCAATAACAGTGCTAGAGGTACGGCAACAGTTATTTTCTATGAATCCAAAATCAGATTTAGAATTTCTTGACCACCTGTGATAATGCTAACGCAGAAGTGAATAAAAGATCGAAACTCATTAACAAAGAAATGCAAATTTTAGCTTCATTCCAGTCTACAGTGATTGAGTTAAAAGTGAAGTCCTTTAATGAATTTAAACAAAATTTAATAATTCGAGTATGTTGAGCATGATGGTCTCTAAATGAGATCGCTGTCTATTTGTGTCAGTCAACTGCTATATGTTGACTTTAACAATGAACAGTGTCTGTAATGAAACAAGTAGAAGATGATACTCTTGATTAGAGTTATAATATAACATAATCCTCTATAGTCTCATTACCGGAAGAACTTATTTTGATTTTTTTTTCTTCACCTATAAAGCATAACATATTTGTATTAATTTTAAAGTTGTTTCGTCATACATAGGTTCTCTGACCGCCCCCATGTTTGTCTTTGTTACCATTCTAGAGAGGAGCCCACAGATGATGAGTTTGCAGACATCTTAACGAAGATAGCTGACGATCTTTACGATGAAGCCAAGATCGACAGCCTTGCTGGTCAGCTGGGAATCCTACATGGTGATATACAGAGAGCGCTCATGACCAATATGAGGTTCAACCGTGTTACCAGTGATGGAACTCGTCATATGCTGAAACAATGGAGAGAAGGTGTGTCCAGGGAAGATGAACGGATTGAGCTCAGGAAGGCACTGCAAGCTGCCAAGTTGGTAAACCTTGCAGACCTGTATCTCAGCGGAGGTAACGGATATTTTCATTAAGAACAATTGTAGTTTCGTAATGAGGACCCCATTCCATCCATCACATTCGGTATACAATACGGCCCATGTGTTTAGAGTCAGATTGACGGTATTTTCTGAAGCAGATTAGTTTTCCGCATTTTTACACTGTTGATATAAATACTAAGATGACGTAATGCAGAGAGGAGAAACTTACACAGATGCTTACTATCAACTTCAAGTTCTCATCTACTACCTGGTGAACATCAAAATAAGAGAAATTTGAAATTCACTGCGATAAGTTCTACACAATCATAATAATTCAATTCAATGTGTTTTGAGATATAAACCAATTATCTGTTTTCTTTCTTACTGCCGGTTAGGTGTAGTAGAAGAACAGATCGATGCTGAATATGATAAAGAAGGCGTCAATGATGAGCAGCTCTCTGCTAGAGATGAGACCTCTCTAGAAGAGGACCAGACCAAAGGACAGACCGACACCCAGGTACTTCAGGAAGCTACAGCAAGCAATGACCACACTCCTCGAGATGGGCATACGGGAGACATGGCTTCCAAAACCCAGGATGACTTGACGGATAGAAGTAGTAGTCAGCATCCTGACAACTCATCGGAGAGCAGTACAAAGAACTTGGATGCATCTGAAGTGATTTCTGAAGACGTGTCCTATGAAGAAGTTCATGCTGGTGATGATATGACCAATGTAAGTAGCATCCAACCTGCTGAGAAATCGTCCGTACATGAAATGCAAGTTCTACCCGAAGATACATGTATGTCTGAGATAGCCCCTCTGGTATCTTCTGGTGGAAAACCCGACGAGGAATCCACCATCTTGGAAGAAGAAGATCTGATTTCTCAACTCGTTCGTATTGATACATCCCCGGAAAAAAGGGAATGCTATTTTTCCTCCTAAAGATCATAATGGATGTTCCCCAGAGAGTACTCAGTTTATAAATCACCAGAGAATCTTCATCAAGCCAAGTTTTACTAACACAAAACTTAGCTCGCGACGTTCCAGGTTCACCCCTGGACGTTTCATCGGGCCGATCGGTCTCTGATGCCATATGATTCTTGACCCGTGAACATGATGTTCCGGTCAGGGAACGTCAGGAAAGAACTGCCCTTCTCTGATAAACCTTTCAAAGACCCGTCGGTATAGCCGGCCTGATGAAGCGTCCCGCAGTGGACGTAAGGCGTTGTAAGCGGGAAAAATCCAGTTGATTTGTTTATAACATTTAATGTTACATGTATTTCTAAGCATACTTTGTTCATATTATATTGTAAAACAGCATCTGAGGAACTAACACTTCAACAAGCTCTTTCAAGTTACTTCCTCTTTTCTCGTGCTTTGTCCATTATATTTGTCGTTTGATTGCATAGTTTTTGTGATAGAAGTATTTTTGTAAAATGTTTTTGCATGAGAAATAAAATCATTTGAATTATTGAATTATTAATCAATTACCTGAATGGTTGAGAACAGTAATAGACATAACCTTCATCATCATTATCCGAACCATATTGTGTATATTGCAATGTTAAAACTTATATCCAAAAACCGCATTCATAATTTCAACTATGCTTTTTTAAATAATGACAATAATTGCATGCAGAGCGTGATTTTTTAAAGAGTAGATTTTGATTTCTCTTTTGGTAAGTTACATGATATAGAACTTCAATTAATGTTAGCAATTATAACAATAGCCACTTATTACAGCTGGAGCAAATGTTATATATTTTTAAACTTTAAAGGTATTACAAAGTTTTGGGAAATTTTGAAAATTGGGTGGATAGTGATTCTTTACAATTTTAATATTTGGATGCCCCTGTGGATGTATTATAAGCACTAAAAATTTTAGCCCCTAAAACACTTCTGCTTTCGAGAAAAATTGAATATAAAAATTTACCGGTGCTCCCGGTAAATTTTGATAAATTTCATATAGCGCCTACGGCCTTACGATGGTAGCTGCGACCATGAAAATTTGAGAATATGTAGTTGTGATATATAATTTCCAAACGGGAATAGCAAATCGGTTGATTTTGGTCAAGAGACATTGTTTTATAGCTTAATTGATATCTTGACCTTGAGAGGGCGCTATACAACATAAAGAGTTTATTATTTACAATTTCATAACTTAAGACTCGATTTTAACCGCGACAACGATCGCTGCATATTGTAGGATCGCATATGCTACCAATATGTTCATTTGAACCAATTTCATGATCCCATACCAAAACTTTGTAATACCCTTAATCTCTCCAAAAAATATTAGTTATGGTCAATCATTTAATGTTCGAATTTCATATTTCATTTTATTGCTTTAAAAAATAATTCGAAGCTGAAGAATCGAACTTTTTCGTTTCTAATTTTGTACCTACCACCAGTTTGAGTAGATAGAAGTAAATGAATAAATGAAACAATAAAGACAAACATGAATGAATAATGAAATTAAAGTAACGAACAAACATATATACAAAATATAAACTTTGAATGTATAATTCCCCAAAACTGTACAAAAGTGTCATAAATTGAATTGTCATTGCTTATTTAAAATTCTTTAATTCATATAAAAACATTCGCGGCCCGAGAGCTGAATTGCAGTTTTAAAAACAAAAACAAAGTATACATCAATGGAAAAGTAAAATTACACGTAATACATTTGCATATTAACATTATGGTAGTAAAATTTCAATTCGTTTTGTACATAATTATAACGCATAATTGTGCTTCTATGACACCTGCTCCGGCTACAATTACTCCATTTGGCATTTAAGTATATTAATCAAACTCCCGATCCCAACCCCGGTCAGGAAACCTACACTGCACCTAACACCAACACCAAGCACAGACCCAGCCCCCAAACCAAATGCAACCCAAACCCCACATCCCTGGTGAAATAAAGCCTGGAGCAACCGCCGCCGGAGCATTTGTCGTGTCGCCATCGTTGTACATTGTGGCAGATTACTTGCTACATACATGTATACAGAAATCTGAATATTATAACCACATTTGCATTAAAAATATATATGTTGAACTTATACAATATATAATTATCAATATATTTGTTTGAAATTCGAATGAATTAAATGTTGTGGTGTAAATTGCATAGCCAGATGGCTAGTGTATTTTCTTTAATAAATAAATTTCGCATTTTCACGATTTTATATTAGTAATCATAATTTTAAAACAGAGCAAAGTGGGGGTAAATTGGTTGCAGAACATTATTTTGAAGAGTTGTCAATGGGGAAAAAGAGCCTACAGGTGGCGCTCTTCCTATTGAAGAGTTTTTCCAGCAAGAGTCGCGTAGTGTCGCATCGGATAAATGAATGTTGGCCTATCCTGAAACATGTTTTCTCACTCTCGAGAAATAGATGACTCAGATGACCCCACCTCTGTTTAAAAGGATGCTTTTTTTAAAGATGAAATTTTCCTCTCTCCGGGAATAAATAAGGTTCCCGAGATTCATTTACTCCAAGTCTTTGTTGATATAACATTAAGAGAAAGAACAACAAACAAAGAACAATCCATATTGCAAATGTGCGATATCACGTATTTTGTAATACATTATTGAGCTCAAGGATTACACCAGGTCATGCTGACTTCTGAATATTATTTGTGTGTATAATGTGCGTACGTTTGCGTACTAAAAGGCCTGAAAATCATTTGCGAGCGAGCATATTGAGTGAACACTTAAACAAAAGCATCATTACCTTTGAAGGCCACTTTGTATATTGCATAAGGGAGTTTACAGATACCATCTGCGCATGGGCAGATAAAGGTCATTTGTACCAAAATGGTAAAACCCACAGAGATGAATACTGGATATGCGCTCATGAAAGTTATGTAACATTATTTATTTATGCACCGACGGTACATTCTATGATACGCAAGTGGAACTATTCTTTTCAAGAGTTCAAACAAAAGGTTTTCATGAAGCACATCTAGGACTTTGGCAGTTATTATTCTAAGATGCTCAAAGTGGAACTTCTCCACGTGTAAAAGATATGTGGATATTTGGGGTCATTTGTACCATGTGCTATCTGTAAACTCCCTTATTAACAAATAACAGGCATTCAACTTTGTAAAGACAACGGCACCGGTCAAAATATATTTACATAATAGGGCCTATTTTTTCATTCAATTTCATCCTTATGTAGATAGCCTGTCAATTATTCAGCTTCCAATGCATGAGTTAACGTAATAGTCCAGGCTAGGCCCCGTAGGAAAGTGCCCGAACCATGTTTTTTTTTATTTATACAATGTTTTTTTTGATGGTTTCTTGTCAATTTGAAGGTGCTGAATCCAAATCCGATGAGTGCCAGACGCGAAACCTTGAGCATTTCTCGTAAAACGCGAAAATTCAAAAGGGCCGCCAAAATGGCTGCCAAATCATAAAAACGCTTACTCGTTGGCCGTTTAACGGGTTATTTGATGTTTTCTTGTCAATTCGAGGGTGCTGATTCCAAATCCGATGAGTGCCAGGCGTAAAACCTTCAGCGTTTCTCGTTAGATGTGTAAATTCAAAATTGCCGCCAATTTATGAAAACATTTATTCTAAATTGAGGTAGTACCTATAGTTCCGAGTTCCGGTCTTTAAAAATGCTTTATTCAGAGACATGCTTTAAATCTGTGAGAAAAGGGATAAGATTACCCTTGCTTCAATTCTTCAGGGCTTCAGGGCATATAGCACTAGCCATTTGACAGCTCATGTAATAGTTTTTGTCAATTCGATTGTGCTGATTCCAAAAACGATATGTGCAAAACGTCGAACCTTAATGAATTTTTTAGATAATACGAAAATCCAATATGGCCGCTTTGCTGGATTTCCAAAACTCTGGGAAGAAATTCCCACAGAATTTCAGGTTGCTTCGATTTGTCATTGATGAGATATTGAGATCAGGACTGGAAGACCATCACTTCACTGACTTCAATGAGTTGATTGAAGTAGCCAGCAGGAAAGGCAGTCGAACTACTAAATCGTGGAGGAACCGTTCAGCCCATGATCATCTGTATGGTCTTTTTAGAGCTGAAAGGGAGGGTGACTGGTCTCTCCATCTGCAAGCTGTCAAGGAAATATTTCTCAATTTCTTCGCTTCAAGGCATACCAGTTATGCACGCTATGGGCTGTATTATCTCCGTTCCCTCCAACGTCTAGCTGCCACCTTCATTACTCAAGCAGTTCTCAGAAAGAGAACATGTGATGCACTATCAGGATGGCATTTGGAAAGGCATCTGGTCCGATATGTACATTGAAACGACGTACATGCGCTATGGAAAGGGACCATCTGGCATTATCGCATCCACTTTGAATGAGTCCATGCCCTCTGGGCTTTTTCTCTCAGCCTTTTTGGACAACGGAAGAATGACTGTGAAGCCATGCAAGAAGGGGAAGATCAGAACGTTTTCACTATAGTGTCACAAAGAAGAGAGTCTCAAAAGAATCAAATCAGATGCGGCTGACAGAAAGGGAATTCGCGAGGCGCTATCGACTTATATGGATGTATTTGACAGTGAGAAGCACCCTTTTTCAAGCCTGGTGAACATCTACGCTGAACAGGTTGTGGATGATCCAGCAGTAAATGCCAATGATCCAATCAAGATTAGATCCGATCAGATGAACGAGTACAAAAGAAAGTTGCCGAAAGGGTTCCATCACACTTACGAAGAAAGTCAAAGAAATTGTAAAAGCTTCTGATATGTCATCAAGAGGTGAGGTATCTACAGTTGCCAATACAGGGATGATCTACGCCCGGGTAATCAAGATCATGGCTACATCAAGGGAAGCAATTTCAACCAAAATCTTATTCTCTTATGAATTGGCTCCCTATCCACCAACCCTGTTCGACCAGAATGGTGCTGCATATTCCACGAGTAAGTCTGTCTTGAATTCAAGGACCACAGCTGAGTGTAGTCAATGAAATGCAGAGGTGCCAGATGTTATCATTCTCGATGGATGTGCTCTTCTTTGGACCATTCCTTGGCCTGCTTCTCCAGCAAAGGTCATGAAATATGTCAGATGTCCAGTTATTCATGTGGTTTTTGACAGATACTACAAGAGCATCCTCAAGTCCGTTTTCCGAACAGCACTAATTGCAAAAGGTTGCAGCCCTGTAGCTGAAGAGTGAGTATCCTCTGCAAAAACAGAACGTCATCCTAAATGTAACTGCAAACTAGCAACAAGTCATCAAGATGATTGTAGATCAGTTGTGTTCTATGCAAGCAAAAGAGGGCAAATAATTGATCGTAACTGGACCTAATCCACATCCATTTGTTGTGGGTGTTGGGGCACTTGAAGAAGAGATAGATGTAATAATGGCCTACCACATGATAAAGGAGGCGAAGGGTCACTCACCTATCAAAGTTGTATGCGATGACACAGATATTCTGTTCATTCTTGCGCACCATCTAGCTACATTTCCAAACTAATGGCTATTGTGGAATCAACATCTCGCACTGGAGCAGTCATAGATATCAATGACGTTAACAAGAAACACAAGAAGATCATCCCCAATCTACTTGGAGCCCATGCATTGACTGGATGTGACACCGGTTCCTGTTTATATGGAGTAGGAAAGGCTTCTGCACTGAATAATAAGGAGCCCTAGCAAGCGCGTAGCCAGGATTTCATTTTAGGGGGGGCGGTAGTGAGCACGCGAAGCGTGCGAATCACTTAAAGAACGCGCGAAGCGCGCTCCCTAGGGGGGTGGGTGCAGGGAGGGGGAGTTTCCCCCCTCCCGCGCGAAGCGCGGAAGCTTT